CGCTAATGCCCCTCCCAGTTCTTACAACCCAGGGTCACAGGTAGGTGCTTGGCAGGGGGGCGTTCTGGGGCAAGGCTGGTGCTTGGGGGGAAATACCAATGTCGTCTGACCTGGCTTCTCCGCCTCTCTGCCCCCCCCACCCCGAAAGCTTGCGCAGTTTCATAACTCCCATGTGCAAAGGAGAGCTGGGCTGTGGCCCATTAGCCCTGCCTGACTCCCAGTGCGCTTTAGGAAGCAAATATGAAACACAGCTCACATTATCTGTTTAGAACGAAAAAAGAGAGAGCCGGAGCAAGGCATCAAGTGAAGCTGATGGGCAGAGTAGATAAACAGAACAGAAACTAAGGGCACAGCAATACATATGACATCAATACAAAGTGAAATGCTGCATAAGTTCACACAAAGAAATTAATGCTGAAATCCAACTTTCATGTTGTTTATAATTCTTATAACAGCTCTTATCACCAACCATTGTTATTTCGGATTGTGAAATAACAATGGTTGGTGATAAGAGCTGTTAGTAGCCTTCCTGAATGTTTGGATACCTTAGTGGTGAATCAGACTGTGAAAGGACCACTGGAAATTGAAGTTTGATAAAGACTGTTCTCGAAACGAACGGCAAAACTCGAGAAGTTCGTCTCCACCTGTTGAAATACAAGAATTATAAACAACATGAAAGTTGGATTTCAGCATTAATTTCTTTGTGTGAACTTATGCAGCATTTCACTTTGTATTGATGTCAGAGTAGATAAACGACAGACCAAGGGAAGGTGCTCCTTTACACTGCGAAGGGATTAAAATGTGGGATTCGCTGCCAGCGGTCGCAGTGACGGCCACTGGCATCGGCGGCTTTAAAAGGGGATCGGACGGGTTCACGGAGGAGTGGTCTGCCAGTGGCGGCTAGCCACGGTGACTGAAGAGAACCTCCATGTTCAGAGGCAGTCACGCTCTGGATCCCAGGGCCAGGAGGCAACATCGGGGAAAGGTCTCGGCCTCCATGCCCTGTTGGTTGGCCGCCCGGGAGAACTGGTTGGCCGCTCTGTGAGACAGGATGCTGGACGAGATGGGCCACTGGTCTGGGTCCAGCAGGGCTCTTCTTACGTTCTTGGGATCGCCCAGAGCATTTCTGCACTGCAAACTCTAAAAGCGGTTTGGTCACTCCTCGTCTGGGAGCAGCTCCGAAGTATTGGTACTCTCTTGGCCGAATTTTCAGGGATCTTCACCCAAATCCTTGCAGGGGGGACGATAACGACAATGGTTATCAACACAGATACTCCTTTCCGGAAGAGGCAGTGGTGGTTCTAGGCAGGGCTCTTTTTGTAGAAAAAGCCCAGCAGGAACTCATTAGCATAATAGGCCACACCCAACAGCAGGAACTCATTAGCCTATTGGGCCACACCCCTGACAGCACAGCTCATTAGCACATTAGGCCGCACCCCCATGTTACCAGAAGTGTGCTCATCCAGCCACACCCACCTTTTGCTTCTTATTCTGTTTACCTTGTTTGTTGTCAAAACCCAGGGCCTTTTTTGTAGCAGGAACTCCTTTGCATGTTAGGCCACACACCCCTGATGTAGCCAATCCGAATGAGTTTCTGCTGTTGGGTGTGGCCTGTTATGCTAATGAGTTCCTGCTGGGCGTGGCCAGCCGGAACTCCGTCCCTGTGCGTTCCTGCCCAAAAATAGCCCTGATTCTAGGGGGCTCTTAGGAAAGGGGGTACAGAACTTCCCTCTCTGCAGGTGCTTTGAAGATGTCCTGGATGTGGCTTCGGGGTGGTGGTGGTGGTGTTTGTGTCCCATTTGCAAAAAGTGTGTGAGGCGGAGCTGTGGTGCATTTGTCGCTCAGGCATGAGCAGACGGCCCTACGAGCGTCACAAAGCCGACGTGACCGTTCCGTGACGCCAGAGGACCAACAGGCTTTGATTTTATCCCCAGATGTCAGACTTGTGGGTCTTTTGGTCCCCAAGCAATCCCTGCCCCAGAGGAGTTCATAGGACATACATAGCTTTCTCCCTCTTTCTCTTTTTAAAATGAAGTTAAAAAAAAAATAGGGGTGGGATTTTTTTAAAAATAATTTTTTTAAATTAATTTTTAACAGCGTAAACACAACAGAATTAGACACAAAGAGCAATGACCGGCTCAATTAAACAGCTTTTCTTACATAACTCCCCACAGTATCACAGTAAAGTCAAACAGTTGTATAGACTAAGTACCGAACAGTTAAAAGAACAACAGCTTCTTGTATGGCGGGTTTTTTGGAACTGTTTCACTATTTTCTAAATAACTAATAATAGGAAACCAATAGGGCTGGAATTCATCTCTTCCTTTCTCCTTCACTTCCCCCCCCCCAGCAGAGCTACACCCAGCCCTACAGTCCACCGTCCAGCTACAACCAAGGCAGCTATGCTCCGAGTTACAACTATGGGAGTTACAGCGGTTACAGCCAAAGCTACACTCAGCCCCCTCCTCCTCCTCCCCCCCCTCCTCCTGCTCCTCCAGCTCCTCCGACTCCTCCAGCTCAGCCGACCTACAATCAACCCAATTACAACCAGTACCAACAGGTAGGCGGGTTGGAATGGGCCAGTCCAGATCCAACGGGACTGCTTTGCGTAAGGCCAGTGCCTCAGGGGGGATATTGCCGGGCTGGTTGTCCGCGGCTGCCGCAGACCACCAATGGTACGGCACTGTATCGGTTTCCTTTGTATTCCTCAAGGGTCAAGCTGAGAAGAGTTAGCTGTGGATCCCAGCGCAGCCGTAAAGTTTGTTGGGTGGCAGACAAGTATCGGGCCGTGGTGGCTCAAGGGGTTAAGACGCTGAGACGGGAAGGTCTGTAGGTCGGCAGGTCGAGACCCGAGTGCCGCGTGACGGAGTGAGCTCCTGTATCTGGCCCCAGCTCCAGCCAGCCTAGCAGTTTGAAAGCAAGAAACTGCAAGTTGATAAATAGGTTCTGCTTTGGTGGGAAGGTAACAGCGTTCCGTGCACCTCGGTGTTTAGTCATGCCGGCCAAATGACCACGGAGAAGTCTTTGGACAGCGCTGACTCTTTGGCTTGGAAACGGAGATGAGCACCGCACCCCTAGAATCAGATTTGACTGGCTTTCGAGCAAGGGAAACCTTGACCGTAGACAAGTATCATCACGTTAATTCCCCGTAAGCCACTGTTGAGACATGGCTGTGAGCTTCTCAGCGGAAGATCTGAAAAGAAACCGAATGAGTGATTTGGAAACAGGAGGGGGCGAGGCTTAGAGGCAGGGATTCCCTTTTTACTGTTTGTAATTCCAGTCGTCTAGGGAGGCTTCTCACAGTCTTCCCCATGGCTGCCAAAACCAGAATAAAGTAACCCAGTCTAAGAACAATTGGGCAGATTTTGTCCGGTCGCGTCAGTGACCCGTTGCCAGGGCCAACCGTCCTGTGCATAGAACTAGGGTTCGAGGAGAATCCCTCTCTGTGCAAATGTGATTTCGCTTAGTCTTGGGTGAACCGTTCCCCTGCTGAGTGCCAGCTCTCAAGAGGACTGCACGCAAATGACACGAGGAGTCGAAAGTGGTTTTGGAGGGAGAGAACTTGGCAGGGCTTACAGTGTCTATCATGGTTTTCCAGTTACCCGTTACCTTAAAATCAGGGGGTCCCCAACACCTTTCCTGGCGCCTGCTGGGTGTTTTTTAGGAAGTGGGCGGGACCAAGTGGGGCCTTTTGCCCAGCAAGACTCCTGATTGGCCACTGGAGATTAGATTGGCGGGGCAGATTTTTCAGAAAAGTTGCTTTGGCAGCAGTTGCCACCACAGCACAAGGATCCTCTTTTTATGACTGAAGGTCGGCTGCGGCAGCCATTTTGTGCCTCCCTTTTGTGGCTTTGCCCCCCCCCCCCCCCCCCCCCCGGTGTTGGAATGCCAAAGGAGTCCACAGGCTCAAAAAGTTTAGGGACCCCTATCTTACATCATGATTAAAGGTGCATGTGGGTGTGTTGATGAATGGGGAGGGAACGCATTGATACTTTTGACGGAGTAAGATCCTAATATATTTGTATCCAGAACAAAGAACCACACACTTTATAAAATAACTCAAAAGAGAAACCAGGGGGAAAAAAGAAGGTAGGAAGGAAGGAAAGACTGGAAAGCTACAACTTCTGTGAGAAATCTAGAGACTTATAATGGAGTAAGATCCTAAAGATGGACTAAAAACTGAGGAGAGAAAGAGAGAGAGAGATGCTTAGATAATCCAACCAGAAGAAAATAAGAATCATATAACCATATATAGTTAATGGAAATACTTAGACAAAGGTTAAATTAGTAGAAAATAAGATTTATATACCTATATCCTTGCAAAATATTACATACATAAGCAGGGGTCATTTCGTAGAAAAAGAGGTGCAGGAGCTCATTAGCATAACTCATTTGCATATGCCACACCCCCTGACATCACCGGAAGTGTGTCAGAAGGCAACACCCACCACTCAGGCTCCACTGGACTGTTTTGGATTGCTAGCTATTGGGGGGGGGGGAACGTGCAGATCTGTCCTCGCAGAGGAGGGAGAGCTTGTACCTGATTAAAACTTGGTCTTAAAGGTGCCACTGGACTGTTTTGGGGTGGGGGGAGCTCTGCAACGTACCTGGCTGCTTCTTGCTCTGACTGAGGGCTGCTGGGAGCAGGGGGTGGGGCTTGTTGCATGTAGCCAGCCCCTGAGCTCTTTACTGCCGGAGCGCTGCTCCCGTGCGCTCCGGCAGGAAATGACCCCAGATGTAGTCTTAGATTATTTATGAGGTAGGTTAATAGGGGAAAAAATGATACGTGTGAATGCACCCATTTTATGTTTGTTTGTCTTGAAAATAAAATATATCTATAAAAGAGACTCGTTGGCCGATGCTCACATCCATGATTCCGAATCTCTTGCTTTCCCCGCAGTACGCCCAGCAGTGGAACCAGTACTATCAAAACCAGGGCCAGTGGCCTCCGTACTACGGCAGCTACGACTACGGGAGCTACACGGGCACCCAGCAGGGAGGCTCGAGCACCCAGTGATGGCCATCCAGTACTCGGAGGGAGCGGCTCGGCGCGCCGCACGTGGCATCTCGGACTGTCTCGGGACCCTGGAGGGGAAGTCTCCTCTGCCCTTGTCTCCTCTCTGTAGTGCTCGAGGGTAGCTGTGTTTTGACCTCTACAGCTGAAGGCATGCTTCCTTCCCCCTCGTTCCACCCCCCACGAGGAAGTGACATTTCTTTCCTTCTCCTTGATGAAGACAGTCCCTTCCCCCCCAAAACCCCCCTTTTTACAATTTATCTCGATTTCTGAGAAGCTAGGATTCCAAGTCTCGTGTCCTTAGGCCAAGGCCCCCCCGCCCTGGTGTCAAGGTTTCTACAGTAGCCAGGGGGCAACCTCCCTCCCTCTCTGTCCATCCTGCCTCACACAACTCTGCTAGCGATCATCAGTTCTAGGCACTTTTGGAAACTTTCTCCCCCACCATTCGGTGTCCCCCGCCCGCCTTTGAGATGTTTTTATCTTGTCTTTCTCCCCCCCCCCCCTGCAAATAACAAAACCGGGGGAGGGCGAAGAGACGGCTGTCTTAATGGTAATGACGATTTGATTTTATTTTTTTAGATTTCCCTGTAACTTTTTACCGTGGGTTAGCTGCTGTTCATAGTTTCTCCAAAGTAACCATTCCTTTTTTCGCTCAGTTCAGGAGACGAGGAAGACAAAAAAACAGGGGAGGGAGATCGTCTTCAATGTGTAACTTTTTTATACGACGTCTAAGTTTCTGTATCTTTGCACATGCTTTGTGTTGAGTTGAACTGTAATGGCTTTTTGTATTTGGAGAACAAAAAGAGTGACTATTGAACTTTAAACTGGCCTGGCGTCCTGTGTTCGTCCTTTTCTCATTGTTGCAAATACACGTCTCCACCCAGAGCATCTCCTAGCATTACGGAGTTGGAAGGGGTCATAGAGGCCATCTAGTCCAACCCCCTGCTCGACACAGGACCATCCTAAAGCATCCCTGTTCATCCAGCCACTGCTTGAAGACTGCCAGGGAGGGGGAGCTCACCACCTCCCCAGGTAGCCGATTCCACGGCTGAACTACTCTTACTGTAAAACATTTTTTATAATATCCAGCAGTATCTTTCTGCCCGTAATTTAAACCCATTATTGCAAGTCTTTTCCTTTGCTGCCAACATGAACAGCACCCTGCCCTTCTCTATGCGACGGCCCTTCAAACACTGAAAGAGCGATCCTGTCTCCGTTCTCTGTTCACTCGCTTTGTTTATTAAATTATATTTGCTAAGCCACCCTTCCCTGCAAGCAGGGCTCTGGGCCAATGCTCTCTCTAAGCCAGTGATGGCGAACCTTTTAGAGACCGCGTGCCCAAACTGCGACCCAAAACCCACTTATTTATCGCAAAGTACCAACACGGCAATCTAACCTGAATACTGAGGTTTTACTTTAGAAAAAACAACTCCTACATTAACTTAAGATGATCCAAACAAAGTAAGGGAAGCAATCCCAAATGCTCTCATTGACTTAAAATTATTTGGCAGAGAATTCGACCCTTTAATGATGGTCTGGGCCTGGCTGGGGCGATGGCACGCGTGCCCACAGAGAGGGCTCTGAGTGCCACCTCTGGCACCCGTGCCATAGGTTCGCCACCACTGCTCTAGGCTGTGGAGTCCTGTGAGCAAAAATTCCACTTTGTGAGCGACTGGCATTAAACTTGTGAGCGAGAGATTTGGCTCCTGCATAGATTACTTTGCTCTGGAGCCCTCCTTCCTGAGCTAAGGAAAAAAACGTGTGAGCCAGAGGCTAAAAAACTGTGAGCTAGCTCACACTCACTCAGCTTAGAGGGAACACTGCTCAGGGCAACTTGCAAGACAAACAGCTACAATATATAATACAGTTCAAACCTGCATTAAAATGCCTATTATCAGGAATATAATGCGCATCCCAAGATGGCGGAAGAAATTTTAAATCCCACAAGCCGCCAGGGGGGGGGTTGCGGAGGGTGGGGTGTGTGTGAGTGCCAGACTTCATACCGTCCCGTCCTCAACCAAATGCCTGGCGGAACATCTCTTCCTTGCATGCCCTGTGGAAAGAGAAGAAAGAAGAAGAGATTGGATTTATACCTTGCCCTTCACTACCCGAAGGAGTCTCAGAGCGGTTTACAATCTCCTTCCCCTCCCCACAACAGACACTCTGTCAGGTAGGTGCGGCTGAGAGAGCTCTCTTGAGAACTGCCCTTGAGAGAACAGCTCTGAAAGAACTTATGACTGACCCAAGGTCACACCAGCAGCTGCATGTGGAGGAG